CCTTCCCTGCAGGTCTCTGATCAAATGTCACCTGGTTTACTGGTCTTGACCAAACACTGATTACAAAATAGCACTCATATCCACGCTCTCCTTTATATCTGCTCTTGTCTCTTCATAGAACTTGACACCCTGTGATGTCTTATTAATAATTGTATTTGATTCTATTCATTCCCCATCACTAGATTATAGTGACTTTTGGTTTTCGGTATCCTGTGCTCATGGCCTAGACAATACCTGGGACATGTTTGACCCTCAGTACATATTCCTCCAATGCAGGGAAGATATTCTTAGTAAAACAGTAAAATACATGACCTCTTCTAGGGTGTGTGGAGAATGAGACCAAAACACCTAATCTGAGATGAAACAGGAGGGAATCTCTTCAAAAGGACAATCCTTTGGGGACAAAAAGGACAAGATACCGAAATGCACTTCTTGACTGCGCAATATAAATGGTAGCATTTCAACTATGTGGGTAAACTGTTGATATGAAAATTAATGATGTCCTTTGCCTCTTTCTGGGGGTCAGTGCAACCTCATGGAACCAGGAAATATCACACGGATATCAAAATTTCTTCTCCTGGGATTTTCAGAGAGACCAGAACTGCAACCCCTCATATTTGGGCTTTTCCTCTCCATGTACCTGATCACTGTGTTTGGCAACCTGCTCATCATCCTGGCCGTCAGCTCTGACTCCCACCTCCACACCCCCATGTACTTCTTCCTGGCCAACCTGTCCTTTGTAGACATCTGCTTCACCTCCACCACCGTCCCGAAGATGCTCTGGAACATCCAGACCCAGACCAAAGTCATAATGTATGAGGACTGTATCACACAAATGAACTTTTTCATAACCTTTGCAGGGATGGACGACTTTCTCCTGAGTGTGATGGCCTATGACAGGTTTGTGGCCATCTGTCACCCCCTGCACTACATGGTCATCATGAACCCCCAGCTCTGTGGACTCCTGGTTCTGGTGTCCTGGATGATGAGTGTCCTGTATTCCTTGGTACACACCTTAATGGTGTTGCGGCTGTCCTGTTCAGAAGTAGTGATCCCCCACTTTTTCTGTGAACTCAATCAGATGCTCCAACTTGCCTGTTCTGACACCTTTCTTAATAACGTGGTGATGTATCTTGCAGCTATGCTGCTGGGTGGTGGTCTGCTTGTCTGGATCCTTTACTCTTAATCTAAGATAGTTTCCTCCATACGTGGAATCTCATCAGCTCAGGGCAAGTATAAAGCATTTTCCACCTGTGCGTCTCACCTATTGGTTGTCTCCTTATTTTATTGTACGAGCCTAGGAGTGTACCTCAGCTCTGCTGCTACCCAGAGCTCACTCTC